AATGAGAACAATTATATATAAAATTTTACAGTGGTTGGCTTTAACCTTACCCGAGGTGATATTATTGAGATTATGGATCCAAACCTTCGTAAGGATTATGACTCTAACTCTGCTTGGAGAGCTCTTAAGCTGGCAATGTCATGTGCGGATCCCTCTTCCTCAAAGCGACCATCCATGTTTCAGGTTATTATCGAGCTTAAAGAGTGTATCGTGTGTGAAAACTCGGGTATAAGTAAGAAGCAAGGCTTGGAATCTTAAGAAATGAACATCACATTGGACACTTCGGTGGTTCCTGTGGCAAGATAGTTTTGAGTGTTAGCAATAATGGAATCGTTAAATCCATCATTAGTTGTGTTTACAACAAAGATTCTTCTTTTGCTTCCACAGAACCGTCCTATGGCCGGTGCGTTGATTGAACATTCGAAAATTAAGTGTGTGATATTTTACTAAAAAGTTGAACTTTAATTTGTGGGTTTCTACCATAGTAGTAGTTATGATAATGGCTCCTTGTCTAGAATTTTTTTCTTTCATGTTGAACCACTTGCCATTTTTAACTTTTTTGATGACTATGAAACAAAACCAGGTCTCCCAATCCTAGTTAACGACAATTAGTTCCTTAGAAAGTCAACTATTTATGTGCCTTTCATCATACGTCACAGTGATGAGTTTGGTGGCTAGTAATGCCAATATCCTTTTGTGATACACTAAGCAACTATTGTTTGGCCAAGAAACTGATGCGCTATATTGCACACCAATGTCTATAACCAAGTTCTTGATAATGATGTTGAAACATTCTAACTATTGTATGAAGTATAAAAGGGTTATGTATGATATGTGGAAAAGTTTCTTATGGATCATTATCATTGTATGGATCCTAGACGAATCACGTAATAAGTTTCTTAGATTTGAAGAAGCAAGTTAATTGAAAAACAGTTGATCCTCCTAAAGATGTAATCTTCTAGTCCTCTAGTCGGAAAGAGTTCCAGTTTCATAGAAGTTCCACAAGAGAAAGAAATCGGATATCAGTCATCGTGGTTTATCATCTATTGGGAAATGATC